TATAAATTGATTCTACAATTAGGAACTTTGCAACCTAAAATAAAAAGAAATATATTCATCAATTAGAACTTTTTCATTCTTAACTGTTATTTGTATTATTGTTAGCTGAATATAGTTAGCTGAAGAGTTTTGATTTATAAATTCAGGCATAATTTGAATACAACTTTTTGTATTCTAATTGTTAAAATGTATTTAAAAAAAAATAATAATCCTTTAGAATTAAGTAGGTACTTATTCATATTTTGAATAATTCACTCAGTTACTAGTAAATGTTTTGAACTTAAGAAAAAATGCATTTGTGTGAACGGCTAAAATTGTGTATAAAGCATCGGACAAAGCATCAACATACATTTGTATTACATTTTAGTGTATGATTATGGTAGACAAATGTTGATTAAAGCGTAAATAACAAATTTAAAAAAATGGCATTTGGCTAAAGTTATATAGTTTTGACACTTTATTATAGTCTTTAAACTTATTTAGAGACATCTGTAAGACAATAAAAGGTTTTTTGAGTTAACTTTTAGTAAAGATCTAACAAATGACAATGGTGACCAATTATCTTTTACATGTTTCGTAATCTGTGAATATGCATTATCAACTTCTTGGATGCACGAGTGGCCTGGAACTGAAAACTTCATTGTAACAGATTTTGTTCTGGGATTTTTCAACATAAACCCAATAATGACATTATCTTATTCCAGTTTTGTGGCACACAGCTATCAGACCATGTAACAATGTTTAGTATACCCAAATTATTATCAACAATATCTTGTAATATGTTAATAAACACACTTGAAAGGTCATTTCCCGATCTACCAATAATTGTTTCATTCCAAATAGCACAATATATAGTATTGGAAGTAGACAAATGAGCTGTAAGGTTTTAAACATTTAATTTTTTTTTATAAAACGCTGGGCCGACATTTGTTTTTGGAAGTGTGATTACATTTTGTAATACAAAACAAACAACTACATTTTCTTGATCACATCTATTTTTGATATCAATATTTTTATGAAATTCTACATTTATACAATATACTTTACATGTATTACCAAAGTCTTAGTCTTTTAAAATTTTAGTCAGTTTTGATATTTGATCCCATCCAAAAAGAAACACAAGTATTGCACCATCATCTTTATTGTTACAAATGTAATATATGAGTTCTAAAATCAATTCGTAATCTGTATCTTCAGGCATTGGATTTTCCAACTAATTCAATATTGCAAAAGGATATTTTTTGAATCTCTTCATTTCACTACAAAAGATTTTGTTATTTGATTATTTGTTAACAATATGTACGTAAATATATCTTAATATATCTTTTACATGCATACTTACTATACATAAGGAATTACAAATTCACTGAAGGGATCACCAGGTTTAATTTTGCGAGATCTTTGTGTTGGTTTTTTAGGAAAATATTTAAACCTGTATTCAGCAGAAATAAATAACATTATTAGATATTAGCAATGATAAAAAAATTTAACAAACCTATTTAATGTATAAATGTCTTCAAGGAAAATTTCTTCAACTAGATATGTGAATCCCTGTATATTCAAAGACAGACAGTCATTGTAATACTTGGATAATGCTGCAGCATTTAATGTTGCACTCATTGATATAACTTTAATATGAGGTCTCTGGATTAACAGTACAAAAAAAAAAAATTAGTACAATTTAAATAAAATACCGTGCATAGCAATAAACATAATATGCATGTAATTACAACAGGTACGATGCTCTCGAGAATAGTTAGTGTAAAATCACTAATGGTGTCACGTTCATGTATTTCACCAATGATAATAAGTGAGTAATAATTTAAAGCTGAATCTTTTTGGATATGTTGAAGTAAAATACCAGTAGTACAAAATAATATAGATCCATATTCACGACCCAATTTTCTAAAATATAATACATTATTTTAGATATTAGTTTCTTGTATTTACTTAATATTATTATCATGTACCTTGAAGAATAAATCATTAATATATTTATATTCCCTAGTAGGTATTTCTCAACTTACTGTGAAAATTTAGTTAAAAATAAATGTAATATTAATAAACAATTCATATTAACCTATGCCAATAATTAAGGTGTACAACTTATTAGTTTGTACCTATATGCAATTTTAGATGTTCACACACTTCAATAGAACTTTATTTTGGGTCAGCATTTATTTGTATTTTATTTTTAAAACAAGTTATGAATATTTTAATATAGTAAGATATAATTATTTATTTATAAATTTATTTTAACTAAACGGGCTGAGCCCTTTCGATATACAAATTTATGTCCACGCACACAATTACATATTATACAGTGTGTGTCCTGTGAACAGGTGGGTATGTTAGTTAGTAAAATAGTACAGTAAAATAGCTTTAAAATAAAAACCTATTAACAATATTCTCACCTTTAAGTTTCATAACTCGCTCCAATATGGTATGTATATAATTATCTTCAAGAAAGTCAACGTCTGACATTTGACAACACATTGGCTTGACTTTCTAGTTCCTTGTATGTGGTATATCATATATTTCAGTTTTGAAAACCATAATAAGTATAATCCACTGTATGAACTAAAAATGATAAACCACTAAGTAACTTTTAGCTTTGGCAAACATTTAAAATAGGAACTTGAGTAATATACTTATATAAGTGTGTGTGAATTAGACATTATATTAAGTTTCTAAGGCTTTTCTGAGTGAATTAAAATCATCGACTGTAACGTCTCCAAATCCTTTATTTGTCTGTTTGTTTTCTTCAAACTCATCGTTGGAGAAATATAATTTTCTGAAAATATAAAGTTGTAAAAAATATCTGAATACCTACCTAATTAATATTAAAATATTTTACCTCTTAAATGATTTACTAGTCGTGCTCAGTGAGTGGTACCAGTGTTGCTGTAAATTATTAAAATTTATTTTATATTGTTTATTTTACTCCTCTAAACAGACATGCAGTTTGGATTATGTTTTGTGACAGCCTCTGGCCATACTAATATCTACTATATACTGAGCCTAGATGAATTTAAATGAATCAATTAAAGTCGGCGAACATTAAAATTTAAAATCATGGCTAAATAATTTAGCCATGATTAAAATGATATTATGTTGTTGTTATTCATTTGATAACAAATAACAATTATTACTATCTTAGTGATAAGCACGGTATTTATCATAGAGTATACTCTGTGGTATTTATAGACGTAATAAATTTGAATATTATTTTGTTTTAATGTTTTTGTTGATGGGATAATGTGATATTACTTATTACTTTAGTTATTACTTATTAGCGTAATAGCGTGGTTACTGGTTATTACTTCAGTTATTTAGACAGTCTGTAATTAAAAATATATTTACAACAATACTTCCAACTTCCACAGTCTTAGTCAAGTATGTAATGATCATATTTTATATTGATACATATTTCTATTAATCTAATATATCCAAGTCAATGTTACGTCGTTTGTTTTATTGTTGTTCAAGGATTATTGTTTTGGTTAATTGCTATGGAGGCCCGGCATAGAAGAAACCAGTCAGCGAAGTTGATCAATTTATCTAAAAAATATAATACATTAGGGTACTGTTTAAAGCAGTACAAGTAATTAACGAAAGGATTCATCTTCTTTGCCATTACGTCCCTATGGCATGCAGCCTGACTGAATAGAGTCAAACTCTAAAGTAATACAATGGTTGCATCATGTAAATAAACACAAGGTAGTATACCATCCACACACATTTTCTTGTTCGCAAAGGTGGGTACCATAAGCTATATTTCATAATATGTTTATAATTGTTTACTTATTATAGTATTTTATTATTATAATTTTATTTTTTTGTAGTTTTTTTTGAGGTACAACATGATGAAGAGCAAAAGAATGAGATTTCTAGCAGTGGTATAAGTGATGACAATTTTATTATGTAAAATAAAGGTGTTCAGAATAATTCTGATAATATATGAACGACAGATTTTATGAAGTAAGTAAGCAGTTTTTTTATCATATTATCTTATATAGTACAATGTTGTCATATATTCACTTGGGTGAAGGATGCAGATATATCTCCACCCATTGTATCTTTATTTTTTCAAGTATTAGGACCATTTCTTGTGATGGTTATACAATTTGTGTGTATTATAGAATTTATGCTTTGATTGTAGGTAAATAAATTATGAAATTGATTTAAGGTTAAACATCAAATTTCAATCAATACTGTTCTAGTTCATTATATTTCAAAAGATCGGCTCGCATCAAGGTAATAAAATTTCATATACCACTGCTTTACAGTACTCTGACTGGCTTTGTATTTCTTCCCCTCCCTTTAATCAAAAAATAACTTGAACTAATTTAAGTTTATTTTTTGATAATTAATTTTTAATTTTGTATTGAATAATTTTAATGTAACATAACTGTATACAACTTTTTATTAGCAATTGATTATATAGTTACCATGTTTTATTAATAAACTAATTATTATTTTTTTTAGAAATTATGACGATAAATATTTATTTGAAAATGAAGATATCACTTAGTCATCCGTTGAATGTATTTCTACATATCCTGTTGAGATATCAAATTGAAATAGTGATGTTTAATTTATTGGAAATGAAAATATTTTTGATACCAAAAGTATATCAATCTTAATAAAGTAAGTGTTGCTTATTTAACAATAAAATTATGTTATAGTTTTATTTACTTTTTTGTTATGTCATGTTAATTTACATACATTTAATAGGTTCAATATTGGTAATATTTAAATAGTATATTTTATAGTGCTAATGTTGATTATGTATTTGAAAATAGGGAAAGTATTGAGGATCTACTCAATTATTGCAATCCTCCATTTTCACCTATTAGTGTTACAATTTTTGGTATATTTTTATTTAACAGTCTATACCAGTGATATACGTATTGATGGAATCAAAAACTGAGACAGCATACACTCAAGTTTTGATGAAGTGTAAAGTTCTATTTCCAGAAATTAAGCCAATATGTATAATGACTGACTTTGAAATTGCATTACAGAATGCTTTTAAAATTGTATATCCAGATGCAATTCAACATGCATGTTTTTTTTACTATGTCCAGGTATTTGTTTGTTAATTTTTATTTACAATTAATTTGTACTTAACATTTTATTTAGTCCAATTAATCAATTAGTTATCACCCTTATGATTAACTTAAATATTTTGTATGTTTAATAGTGTTTGGTTAAAAATATTAGGAGTCAAGGATTAATACCCTATGTTAAAAACAACGAAATGGCTCAAATATGCATTAAAATGACAGCTGCTTTAGCTTTATTACCATCTAACAAAATAGAAGAAGGTTTCCAAATAATTCGACGATACAGCAGGGACAGCAATATAAATCTGACTTCCTTTTTTACTTATTTCTCTAAGTAAGTTGAAAAATATTTACAAATTAAATACCTACTTTGGTGACCGTTCTGTAGTCATTAATATAACTCATAGTCTGTAGTCATTACTAAAATTCCAAACAAATTAATAGTAGTTAGTATATTAAAAACTATTTTTGAATTAATTTATTATAAACAAATTAAGAAAAAATTATTTTTGTTTTCTAATAATAATAATAAATTATTCAACACAGGTAGAATACAAAAAAAAAAAAACATAAGTAATTACATGAACTGAGCTGATTACCCCTCTCTTTAAGCATGCTTGTGGTGAGAGGGAGAGACTTCAGATATTAGTTATACAAATAATATAATATTAACAAGATTTTTTTAAATTTATGAAAGTGAAAAATTATTACAAGAGTAAACTAAAAATAAATAAATTAAAACAGAAGAGTCATAATTAATTGTTTTATACCTAGTGGTTGGGTAAGCCGATCCCCATAAAACTATACCGTAGGATAAGACAGACTGCACCAAAGCAAAATAAAAACTAAGCAAAGAAAATAGATCTAGAATAGCATTTAATTCTTTAAATAATATAAAGAAAAACTTTCTTTATTTTTTTGTATTTAAATTGATTTGTATTTATTTTATATCCTCATCAAAGTAAATACCTAGATATTTAACATTGTTTACACGAGTTAATTTAACAAAATTCAATTTCTATTCAATAAATTATATGAACAAAGTTATTGATACTTCACCAGTTTATAATTTTTTTTTGTATACATATACAACACCTATGTACCGATTTAAATTGATAAAATTTACACTTAACATTATAATATTATGGTTTCAAGTTATTGGATACAGACAAGAGGACCAGAAGTGTTTTCGGTTCACGGTGTTCCTCGAAGAACCAATAATAATATTGAGTCATTCCATAGCCAGCTTAAAGAAAAATTCCAAACTGTTCATCCTAATCTATGGACATTTTTAGGTGATTGATTTAAATTTAATTGGATGTACTAGATTTATTACAATTTATATTATTAATCAATTATGTTTTTTTTGTCTTTGTTATTATAAAATTAGAACATCTAAACAATTTAAGTAAAAAAAACCATATTATTATTCAACAACTGGAAAGAGGTCAGAGAGTTACACGTCCCATAAAAATGAAGTATCTGGCAAACTCTGAGCGAATTATGACTTCTACAAGACAGCTAACTCTTGGTATTATTACTGTTAAGGAGTTTCTTTTGCAATGCTCACATAGCACAGAAACTTATCTGAGACAAGAAATTAATTGGCACAATAATATCGAACAAGGTATAGTAAAACCATAATAGTATAGTAGGTATATAGAAAAGTTTTTTTTGTGAAAATGTTACTCATGTGATTTTAATTTAATCTCTATAGAATATAACATTCCTTGTAATTCTTTCACTGACTTCACTGATTTATTTTCATTGCAATGTAAAATAAATATTGTTTGATGCAACTAGATGGCATGTATCTCTGTCATCACTCAGCCTAATTATGTCACTGTATAGTACTTTTTATATATTACTACTTTTATTAACATAATATATTTATGCTCAATATTTTATTAGATGAAAACATGCAAGCTAGTGACCAAGAAGATGAAAACATGCAGGCCAATGATCTTCAAGATGATGAAAACATGCAGGCCAATGTTCATCAAGATGATGAAAACCAACAGGACAATGATAATAATGAATCAAGTAATGGTATTTTAATATAAATATTAAATTTACATTTTATATACCTAAAACAGATATAGAATAAACATTAAGATATATCTTACTTATATACATATTTTTTTTTCAAAAAAATTACTATAGATGTGATAGTTTATGACCAAATCGAACCTTTACAATACGTGATCAATGTAATTTAGAACGACAGTAATTCTGATGACAGTGTTTATTTTCCATTTTTAAGACCTGGAGTAAGGAGAATAGAAAGAAATGATTCTGATGAATCTGTGGCGAATGACGGTAACATATAATATATAATATGTAATAATACCTAGTTAGTAATTTATTATGGACCTTCCATAACATTAATTATTTGTTACTTAACTTATGTAATCCAACTTTACTTTTTAGCTTGTTTATGCCAGGTTGCTCATATTGAAAATTATAACTATTTTTCAGGTATAAATTAACCTCTGAATAATGAAAATGGATCTCCTTCACATCAAGAAATTCACTGTAAGTTGATTTACTGTGCTTTTGATTTTGATTTTTTTTATCATGATGAGCATACTTTAATTTAACCTAATTTGTCTTATTTTTAACCATTAATAACATTAAACAACTATCTAGCCTTTAAAAAGGATATGTCCTACTTCATACAACTTCCTTCGCCCTAAGTTTAACCACAGAATTGTAATTGTGAAAAAAAATGTTGGCAAGTTAACAATTTTTTTTTTTTATATTTTTTTAATACATCTAAGTACCAACTAGCTATCAAAAAACCTACTTGTCTAAAATAAATCCCGAAATTCTGAACTCATACTTGACTCCCTATTACCCGAAAAAAGTACCTATACTAAAAACCTCATTCAAAATTTTCATTATTCTTCGGACAGAAATTAACTTAATTTAGATACCTACTTTTGAATAAAATTAACTTAAGTTAATACGTTAATCTGAAAAAAAGTAACTTTAATAAAGTTAAAAGTTAATTTGAAAAAAAAACTAACGAGTTAAGTAACTTAATTTTAACTTTTAACTCGTTAATACCCCCAGCCTTGTGTGAAAGTACAGAATACCTTTGTTGCTATGATATTATGAAATTTCAAGTCATGGGAAAACAAATTTTGTTATTGGCCCTATTAATCTATAATTATATTTATAATAAATGGTTACCTAGTCTGAGTTTCTTGATAATGTACAACAGTTAGTTGGAGACTATTTCAAAAATTAAATATGATTTCTTCTTTTTTTAATCTGCATATTTTTAGTAAATATAAATGCATAATTCTGAACTTTTCAAGACAAATTTCAATGTATATTTTGCTAGTTTTTAGTGCAAAAGTTGATGCTTATTTAGGAATTTTTTAGGGCATGAACTTACGACCCCGGGTCATAATAATATTAATATTGATATTAATTATAGGGAACGAGGAAGATTTCATTATACCTGAAGAGTTAGATCCAGACATTATTTATATGATGGAAATTGAAGAAAATAGGAGAATTTTGGAAATGCAAAATTTACCTTACGTCCAAGTCCAAGTACCTGAAGTTCTTCCTGCCGTTGAAACAAAAAACCAAGCAAATATGTGTGTTGCTTGTCTTGATGCGGAAAGTACTCACGCCTTGTCTCCATGTGGACATAAATCTTTATGTTTAATGTGTTTAGAATCATTAGTTTCAGAACGCTGTCCAATATGTAACAGTATATTCATTTCAAATTTACGCATTTGGTAGTGTAAATATTATTTTTCATAAAATAATGTTATTTGTTGATAATTATTATTATTATGTACACAAGTAGTACAAATATTAAAAGATATTTTGTAAAAATAATGATTATTGCATATTTGTTTCTGAGTTTGAGCTTGAAGCGTTTAATGTATCATAGTTATCCTCACTATGGACCCTATTTGTCTGTACCAATATAATCCTGTCAAAGCATAGTAAAAGCATAGCTTTACTACAAAGGTAATATATTTATTTATTCAGTGGCCGTCGGCTAGGACCGACTAAGGGCCCGGGATGTGCTCTATGTAACTTTTTTAGGTCACTTGCTCCAGTTCTCCACAACTATTATTTAAATAATATTTTATTTTATCTTGTGTTTGAAAATACTGATTTAGGTGTACTGTTTGACTCAACTTTTAATAGGCATTATAAAATATTTCAAAAAAATCATCATCCATTCTTGGATTTATTACTAGGACACGTAAGGATTTTTCAAATCTCATTTCATTAAAAACTTTATATTTCTCTTCGGTACGTTCTACTCTTGAATATAATTCTATTATCTGGTAACCTTCTGCAAATATTCATAATACAATGCAATCCAAAATCGTTTCTTTCGTTTTATATCCTAAAAATTTAGTATTCCACAGCAACCACATTCACCATATAAGCTGTTAATAGACACACTAAAATATATGAGCAATCTTGTCCGAAAAAACATACTTGATTTTAAATAATCGTCTCGAAGATCTCATGCTCATATCATGTGAAACGGATATAGTTGTGGAACAAATCTACTTTACCAACAGCCTCACGATTTTCAAAATTTTTTTTTTCAAAAGACTTGTTTTTTTATGCTTAAAACGATGGTGTAATTTTTTTTCCCCGGAAACTATTATTTTAGAAGTTATAGCCTTCCAAAGTTTGCGATTTGACGTTTATGCGCATGCGCGCAACACTACTATAATGAAACGCGGTGGACTATTTTTGTTTTTTTTTTGTACTTACGTATTCTAACCTGTTTAAAACGATGGTACTGTTAGCGACGAATGTTTTTTTGTTTAAAATGTATCATAATCAAATCAAGTTATAATGTATACTAGCTCTAAGTATAACTCGGGGCCCGTTGGAATCGCTGAGAGTGGGTACCGATTTTGGAGACAATGAATTATAAAAGTCGCAAAGGTTGTAAGACGAAAATTTAGGATTTGTGATAAGGATTAGTGATATGGATTGGAGATAAGGCTAGACGCTTTGGCGGGAATGTTAAAAGTTTGAGTGTCTAGCAATCCGCCACAAACGTTGTAAATGGATAGGCTGGATACGATCTCCAGGATCACCTATATAGAGTATACCTGCACATAGAGTGGTATGTGCCGTAGCATGACTGGTGCTTTATCTTATGTAAAAAGTGTAAAGTCGAAAACCGTGTTGGAGTTTCTAGCAAGTCAGTCATCTCAAGTCAAAATCTATTAACTTTCAAGTTAGCCACTTAGGTAGGCAATCCGACTTCGTCGGATCGCGGACTATGTGCTACAGCAAATCAGGTAGGCAATCCACCTGCGGTGGATTGCAGACCCGACATCAAGCGTGAAGCGGCTATAAGTGAAAACCCTATCACACAACTTACGAAATAATTTACGAAAAATTCAAACTATATTATACATACAAACAAATATGATATGTATTTATTGTGTGATATAATATAACAATGAACATTTTGAGAAATGTGCAATTATAATTCCTAAAAAATATTAACATATTGGTAGATAGTTAGATACATACTATTATATTAACCAATACATATAAACATGTACCTATAGGCTATAGTGTATATATATTAATTTAAAAAAAAATTGCAAAAACCTGCATGTTATTTGTTAAAGTGTCTATCAAGTCAATCATCACCGTTTAAGACGAAACTAAAATGAGCAACCCGTCTATCACCTATATATAGTAGGTATATCACATAGAGTGGTATGTGCCTTCGCATGTCCGGTGCCTTTTCTTATGTAAAAAGTGTAAAGTCAAAAACCGTGTTGGAGTGTCTAGCAAGTCAGTCATCTCAACTCTCAAGTCAAAATCAAGATTAACTTTCAAGTTAGCCACATAGGTAGGCAAACCGAAATAAAATACAAACTATATTTATATAACAATCATGGACATTTTAAAAAATATGCAATTTTAATAATTCCTAATAAAACAAATATAATATGTACCTATTTATTGTGTGATATAAAATGATAATGACTTTAAATAATAATAATGTACGATATGTTCCTGTATTATTATATTATTATTTAATTTATATGAAAAATAACGTGAAAAAAAAATGCAAAAAAAGTCGGGATTCAGGCGGCCGTGTAAACCATATGCCATTAACGGTATCAATGCCCAGACGGCGTACGACGGATTTGAACCCGGGACCTACGTGTTTCCTACCTAACGCCTAACCTACTCGGACACAGTTTGAGATATGAAGGACTGTGAAAACATCAACAATTAAGCCGTGCGTCTACGGAGCGACGTAAACCGATATATTCGATGTACATCGATGTAATCGCATATAATTCGCTTGTAATACGCGCATCTCCCATATATATATTTAACGGGGCGTGTGAAAAGCGTTTTCCGTTAATAATTATTACATCATAGGGAAAAATTAAATTATACACTTATGTATATGTATATATCCGCGTACGGTAGGTCGGTCGCCGGCGTAATTTCTAAACGCGATTGCGAGGCGAACGAACCGATTTCGGGGGAAAAGCCCATATAAACGGCTTTAAAAAGACGTGGACTACACGATTCGGGCACAAACGGCGTGCGAATAGACGAAACGGTGGGAGAAAAGGAAAAAATCGGCAAAAAAGTCCGGTCGGGAGTGTATTTTTCGATCGACATTGCGACCGCTTCGAACGGCGCACGAATATAAACCGCACACCGGCGGCTTCGAATTAAGTATACAAAAGGACGGAAAGGGTCGAAATCGTGTAAAAACAGCTAATTTTCCGAAAATTTCAAAAATCGGCGAAATGATAGGAAAAGAGGTGATAACGAAAAACGTTTTAAAACCGACCGCCGCCACTGCGAAGGTACGCGATTGGTCGCGCTATAAGGAATCGACGGGACATGGCCGGCGGGCTGGGGAAACGGAGCAGTGCTTCATTTTTTACGCCATGGGTTCGCTATAGCCGGCGTTTTCCTTTCCATTGGTACACTATAGACAGCTGATTTCCTTGTCATTTTATATATTAGGATTGTAAGGGCCGAGGCACTGTGTGCCCTGAACTGGTCACACTGCGCCTCGCGCCCAACCGAGACACGGACAACCGCGACGGCGGCACGTCCGGCGACAGTCTTGCACTCTTGCTCTAGTTTTCGTAGCGACCGGGTACACCGCTTCTCCCGCGTCCCCGACGACCGTTAATCTAAGTTGTTAAGTTAGAAACTGTAATATTATGTTCTTCCAGTTTACCGTTTGTAAGAATAAACGCCGAATACCACACACTTCGTTCTAAATATTTACTTAGTTTCCAGAATCCTGACCCGAGTCTTACCTTAAACTGCTACCGATCGTTAGTTGTTTAAAGTTTGCTAACATTTCAGAAGTGGGATAAGCTCGAAGGCCCCTCACACGTGTTTCCGAGTGCGTCGACGGACCCGAAACTCCGAAATCGTGACCCGTTTGTCACGAGGTTTCTGTTCGGTCACGTTGTATTTCCGTGTGCGACTTCGGGAAAACCCATCACGTAACGTACGTAACGTTATCTCGCCTGCTGTTTTCGATCGCGATCGTGCGAGTGCGCCCGTCCGCCGCTCCGACGCCCGATCTTGCGAGTGCGCCCGTCCGCCGCTCCGACGCCCGATCGTGCGAGTGCGCCCGTCTGCCGCTCCGACGCCCGATCTTGCGAGTGCGCCCGTCCGCCGCTCCGACGCCCGATCTTGCGAGTGCGCCCGTCCGCCGCTCCGACGCCCGATCTTGCGAGTGCGCCCGTCCGCCGCTCCGACGCCCGATCTTGCGAGTGCGCCCGTCCGCCGCTCCGACGCCCGATCGTGCGAGTGCGCCCGTCCGCCGTTTCGACACCGACAGGGTTGGACTAGCCCACCGGGATACCGGGAAATTTCCCGGTGGGCCGCAGCAAAAAGGGGCCGTACTGGCGTACCGCCGTAACTATTAATAAATTATATTGGACCGCGAGTATGATGGTGGTTATCTTAATTTGATAAAAAAAAATTTATTTCAATCGTTATTTTATGGAATTTAATATTTAAATCAATTTAAATTGATAAAAGGACAGAAATAATTATTGTATTATTATGAACAAAATTAAACTACCTAGTAGATGAAATTAATAATTTGATCCCGGATAATTTGCCAAATGTGCGGATACGTTAGAAAAAAACATTGTATGGTGAGAACCAAAATGAAACTGTTACTGAAACTGCTATTGACTTGTTTAAATTTAATGTTCATAACACAGCGATGGATACAGTGATTTGTAAACTAGAACAACGTTTTGCTAAACACGCTGAAATATGTTCAGATTTTACATGCTTAGATCCTCGTCAATTTTCAAAACCATTGCCCACAACTGCTCTTTTCAAACTTAGTAAAGTTCTTGGATTAGAAAATACTTCTATTTTAAGGGAAGAATTTCTAGATTTTACCAAAAAATGGGATAAGCTTAAATTAAATTTACCTGAAGTATATGCAAGTTATAGAAGTGATGAGGAAAATGAACTTCCAGAATTAGATTTAGAATGTTTGCAAGAAAATGAGTTTGAACAAAACCTATGCAAAACAAATATACGGTGTTTAAAATGTTTTCTTTGCTGTTTTAATGTATTGTTTAAATATAGATTATATGTTAAAGCATATAGCAATTTATTTTTAGCCTATATGTATATTTCAACACTATCATGCACTCAGGTAGGCTGTGAAAAGAGTTTTTCTACCTTAAGTTTTATTAAAAACCTACTTAAAAACCGTCTATCGATGGAAA